TGAAAGGTCAGAGGTTCTAGTCCACCTGGGGAAGAAATTCCTTGGAAGAAAGGCCTGGTGTTCTACTTACTAAACACTTGCTTGCTGCCAAAACATCGATGCTGACTCAGAGTGACCCCATACATAGGACTGTCCCTGTGAGTTTCTAAGACTGTAACTTGTTGCAGGAGTAGAAAATCCTGTCTTACTCTCACAGAGCTGCTGGTGGTTTTGAACTTCAGACCTTGCAGATTACAGCCCAGCTGAACCGCTACACCACCAGGGCCCAAGAACACTAGCCATTGAAAACCTAGTGAAGCACAATTCACATCAGAGTCTACTCAGTAACAACTGGAATAGCTCCCATTGGTCAGCACTGAGCCTTACTGAAAATAGAGATTTAGCAAATGCCAGTTAGTTCAGATAAAAGAGAAGAAAAAGAGACCAATCCGCACCTGGCTTTATTCTCCTTCCAGGGCATTCTGTTGAAAAGAGTTATTGAGTAGAGAAGCGGGGGTTCACAACCACTCTCTGGACTCTCTCCCAGGGCCTTTTTAGAACTGGAAAGTTAATTATGGAGCCAGATTAACAGTTTCTCTTTTGATACAGTCAAAGTAAAACCAGCAGGATGCAATTTAGCTCTTCCCCACTTTCCAAATAGCAGCAAATTTTCATACAAAACAAAGAGACACTTGAATTGCAAATTACTTAGCGAATCAGTTAGCAAGCCCAATGGAGGAATATTTCTGCTACTTTCAAAGCCCGGCTGTTGCCTTTTCAGCTTTAACCATAGAGTGGAACCTTCACAAAGGCCGGGGCGTCTTGGTGTTTCAACTCTAGGCCAAGTGGGTGGAGAAGTGATTCTGAGGGTTTACTGGGATGCTCCAGTGGGACCTTTCTGCTCAGAATATTCTTCTCCTCTGCAGACCCTCTCTAACTCTCAGGGCACCAAGCTCCACTGATGGGATAAGAGTTTAAAAGTCCCCAGAGGTCTTTTCATGCAGAGTAAATGCCTATGAGAGTAGGGCAGGGACATAAGGAATAAAGCAGGTAGAGGGGCACATGTGTCTGCTACAAAGTTATAAGCACTGGGTGATGAAGGACCTCATGCCCCATCTGCCCATTGCTATCCTTTAAGACTGCAATGCTGGCCCAGTGCTGAGGGTTGCCAAGCACGATTTGTCCTGGAAGACTACAATCGAGATTCTTATTTAATATATCTTCCCTTTGTGCTGTTGGCATTATTATCTCTAATAAGGGTTGGGGCCCTGAAGCAGCAGAGCCAAATTCACTAACTGCAAGTTAGAGACAAAAAGAGAAGTTTATTAGATGGTGGTGCCAACGGGAAGTCCAACAGTAATACAGACAGCATTAATGGAATCAGAACGCATAGAGACTATATGCTTTTTCACTTTGGAATTTACACCCAGGAGGAGCGAGCCACTTACTCTCAAAGATACTTTCACTAACTCCAATTTCAGGATAATCACAGGAAGTAATCCTTGACTGAAGAACTCTGCTGGTGTAGTGGCTTCCACTTGGGCCTGCAAACCACAAGTTCAGCTGCTCAAAGCAACCAGCAGCCCTGGGAAGGTGGCACTCAGGTTTTGGGTGGTGTTTTGTTTTTACTTTTGTAATTGTTGACCAGTAGGAATCAGATAGAACAATAAGTCCCCTCAAGTCTTAAGACACGCATATCCCTGTTGACTAATCAAGTAGCAGGAACTAGCTACAGGGCTACTAACAATCAAGTGAGGCAAGTAAGAGAAGATACTCAGAGTTAGCTAGACACTTGCATCTAACCCATTTGCTAGTTAACCAACCACACTTTGAAAGAGACTGAGGTGCACTACAGAGAAAACATGACGTCAGTTAGGCTAACCACAGGAAGGGAAAGCATGGTGTAAGTTGGACTAACTGAAGTAAAAAGAAAGGGGACAGCTTCTAAACGAGTAAATAGGGGCAATCTATGGCTGGATGTGGCCTGTGGGCCACCACTTTGTAATTTCCAACCTAGCTCTGCTTCCTCTCTTGATGCATGGAGCACTAGTTGGGGAGAAGAAAAGCACGTATGCTAGGTTCTTGCATGACGACACCTGATTCCTCATCCAGAGCCTGAGTGACCACACCACACAGCCACCCTCAGAATGCTGCCCCTTTTTCATTTCCACAAGAGCATTAAATTTAAATGTATATTTATTGTAGAGAATTTTAAAGATGAAGTAAATAAAAGGAGAAACCAAAAATCACATTTTACATTAGAGGGAGGGTGGGTGCTGGGGTGGAAACCTGACTGGAAATGAGCTGCTTTCAGACACAACCCAGCAGAGGGGAAGGTGACCTTGCACTTGAGCTCAGAGAAGCCCCAGATAGTGGTAAGAAAGTTAGGAAGGGCAGAAGTAGAGAATGCATAGACGGACTATGGCCGGTAGTGGGCAGGAAACAGCATATGCAGCCCGATGCGAATAAAGAGGGCACAGGAAGGAATGTTGAATAAAAGTCACAAATAATATCCCAACTCTGTCTGCGTCATGTGGGAATGCAGACAGTGCCACCAGAAGTTTTGATATTTTCTAAGAGAAGCTTGCCATCTACACTTTTAAGTTATTTTTTTCCATGTTTACACATAACTCAATTTTAGAAAAAAAAAAAGCGTGAGTGACTCCTCCCCCCTGACGTCCTCTCTCCATCTTTGCTCAGCTATCACTGAGGGAGACAAGTGTTTATCAAGTCAGTCAGCATGGAGCAGAAGGGTCGTTTTAACCCCATCAGGCACCGAGCAGCAGAAAGGGGTGGGCACTGGGGGACTAGGTCCTGTGCAGACTGAAGGTAGCAGTTTCCTGGGTCAGAGAGAGCTTCCACCTAAAGGAGTCTGCACGCACCCTTGAAGGACAAGCTCTCCCCAAATCTAAAGCCCTCCTGTGATCTTTTGTATTGTGTGCAATGTGTTTGTGGGGTGTGTATGTGTACAATCTACCTTGACTTTGCAAAATTCATATGAATAATCTTGTTGGTAACTCCCTAGAAGACATGTTTTTCCACAAGAGAAATGTTTAAAGTCACTAAGTGTAGTAATGAGGGTGTCATCCGTCCCTCCCCCCCACCCACCCATTTCACTGCACTGAATCAGTAAATTAGAAGTCTAGAATGGTCCAAGATCTGTCCAAGTTCCTTAACCTGCCTCTAAATCTTCAGTTCGTGCTTGGTAAAGTGAGATTTAAGATACCTGACCTAGCTTTCTGTAGCAGTAACAATTTTTGCTTAGAAGAAACAGACTACTCACTTCAAACCGGCTTAAGAAAAATAGAAATGTTTTGATTCATAAGAAGATTTGAAACATTTAATCCAATGATCAAGATCAAGAATTACAGCCTACAATATGAGTGAAACTCGACATAACAAAGAAAAAAAATAAGACCAATAAACAACATCATGACAGAGAAAAGATTGAAATGGCAAAGAATTTCATTTTACTTGAATCTACAATTAACACACATGGAAGAAGCAATCAAGAAGTCAAATGACATATTACACAGAGAAAAATCTATTGCAAAAGACCTCTTTTTTGCAAGTGTGTAAAAGCAAGAAATGTCACTTTGAGGTCTAAGGTCTACCAAGGTGTATGACCTTGTCACCTCTGTCTGTGCCGACTGAAAAGTCATGTGGTATTTTCAATCATCCCATGTGCATGCAAAAGCTCCACAATGAATAACACAGGCTGCAGGAGAATTGATGCCTTTGAAGTACAAGAGCGGTGAAAAGACTGAATATACCATGTATTGCCAGAAGAACAGACAAATCTGTCTTGAAAGAAATGCAGCCTGGATGTTCCTTAGAAGGGAGGGCTGTGAGACTTTGGACATGTTATCATGAGGGACCAGTCTCTAAAGAAGAACAACATGCTTAGGACACTAGAAAATTCTTGAAAAAGAGGAAGGCCCTCCGAGAGATGGCTGACCCCGTGGCTGCAACAATGAACATCAACAGAGCAACAATCGTTGGAACTGCATAGAAATCACTTAACAATAAGGAAGTAGCAATAAGGAAGTCCCTGGGTAGCACAAAGGGTTAAGCTCTCAACTACAACCCAAAGGTCAGTGGTTCATGGTCACTCAGAGGTGCCTCAAAAGAAAATCCTGTCGATTTACTTCTGCAAGGCCAAAATCTTGAACATCCTCTGGCATGACACACATAGTGTTGCCATGAGTCAGAATTGACTGGACCCAGCAACAGCTTGTACAAGAGCAGGCCGTCCGTCTGTAGCTAAGGGACATCCAACTCAGCAACACCTACCACCATCAGTTCATGTAACTGGAAAACCAAGCATGCTGATCCTAGTGGAATCCAAGGGTTAAAATAATGACTTTCCACTTTCCTCTCAGTATGTGTGAGTGTCTATGTAATGTTTGCTTTGCAAAAACCATGTAGATAATCTTAGTAATTCTATGTAAGACTATTTTCTCCACAGTAGAAATGTTTAAAGTCAATAAAGATAGTATTGAGGGTGCTATTTTTTCCCCCATTTCACTGCAATGAGTCAGTGAATCAGAGTCCGGAATAGAAGAAGCCATGTCCAAGTTCTTTAAACTGCTTCTAAGCCTATATTCATTCCTGGTAAAGGGAGAGTCGTTTAAGTTGAGACACGTGTAAATTGTCCCGTGTTGATGCCAGATGCACATCCTCACCATCCCAAGTACAGCAGAAAGGCACTCTCTCCTCCCTTATATTTTCAGACTGGCCTTCCATGGTCTGAATTGGGTTCCTAGTTCCAGAATCAGTCAATGTGGCAAAGGAGGTGAAATGAGCATAATGGCTCAGGGCGGTGCGCACTTCCTAAAGCAGGAGGCATTTCGCTGGCGGTGTGTGGGAAAGTGAATTTCATTCTAGAGGGCACCATCCAAGATAGGAAATCTGACTAGTCCTAAGGAAGCATCCATCTTCCTGGAAATGTCCAACGTAAAGTATGGTGCCAAAGTGAGGGTGTACATCTCGTATTTATCTTCTCTTCCGATGTATTTCAGGTTCACTTTAACAAGGAGTTCAGGACTGACCGGTTACGCTTGTCTCGATGAAACCAACAGTCTGAAGAGTAAGTAGTGTTTCCTATGCTATAACTCCTGCCTGGTGTCCAGATGAGCTTTATGCAACTACTATTCTTTCCTCTAGCTCATTAAAGTGAGTTTATTTAAATGACGACTCCTCTTCACAACCCATCAAAATAAAAACCAACCTGTCTTATTGCTAAAACAAATCTTAAGTGTATGCCCTCAGTTTTCTCCATTGTATAGTCCCCAGAACAGCACTGGGATTGTCAAGGTGCATGTCACTTAGAAAGTTTTCTTGGCTGCAAATAATATAAAGCATGGGCCCAAGGTGACTGAAATATTAAAAAATTATTCTGAGGTGGCTGCCTCCCCCAGCTGAGGCCCTCTGGTGGCCGGAAGATTCCCCCGAGGAGCAAACAACGCTGTCCTTGAAGAGGAGCACAGGTGTCTTCCGGGAAATGGGTCAATTTCAGAACTTTCCAAAAATAAAGGCTCATTCTTGAGAAAAAAAAAATTATTAGTTCTCATAATAAGAAGTTCTGAGATGGAACAGCTTCATAGTTATATAATGGAATAGTTCCATCATGTCATAAACTCCCAGATTTTTACATCTTCAGCAGGTATTTTCCTATGTGTCTCTTTCTATCAGCAAGGAAAACCTTTCAAAAATGCCTCCACAGACTGCATGATCCACTCGTCAGAGCTTTGTCACATTTCTTTGCCTGAATCTGTCCTTGGAGAAGGGGATGGGACCGTAGTGATTGGCTTAACCCAATCACAGTTTACTTCCTAGAGTGGAGAATGGCTCCATGAGCTCGGAAGCACAAGGTCGCGTAGAGGAAGATGACTTTAGAAAAAAGAACAATCATGTGAGAAAGTCATGGGTAAAAGGCTGACTTTTCACTAGGAAGGCAATCAACGCATCTGCTCTAAGGCGTTTCTATTTAAATGTCAGTTACGCTTCCTCTAAGATGAACATCAATACCGGTACACAGGTTCCCAAACACCACATACTTCACCACGCACTGCAAAAAAAAAAGTAGAAACCAAGTCTTGTTAATCGTTCTCCAGGCCATGGGTAAAATTAAAAGAATAGTTAGAATTACTTTTGACTCTGGATTTAAAACCCAAAGCATTATCATTATGCCATATGCAGACTGTTTCCCCAATTTGCATAATTATAAACTCCCCCTCAAAGAGTAAACATCACTGCCAACTTAAAAAAAATACGACAAAGCAGTATTAAATATGCATTGCTGATTTGACTTTCTAATTTGTCTGGAATCTTCACACAGACGTGCATAACTCCACAGATACTGAAGTGCTTAATAAAACTTTCCACCTGTCTGGAAAGAGAACAACAGGAAAGGAAAGCTAAAAACCAGTTTTCCAGCTAAAGAATTTGAATTGATGCCTGGAAAATACCAATAGGAGTTGGCACTATTAAAATAGCTTTCAAATTTATGACTCTGGGAATTGAACTCATCATTCAAGTAAGTTCAAGGGACTACAAGAAGTTTGTGGAAGAATGAAATTAAAAGATAATGGAACTTTTCTATGAAGTATTTGAAGTCCACTCATATAGATGATTGCTTTGTGCAATCAAATAAAAATCATTCCTTCAAATGCCTTTACTAAGGGTAAGAGTTACTTGTATGGTGCAGGTGATCTTATAGTTGGACATGTATAGGAAATTATTTACGAGGCCCAGAAAGATTTTTCTTCCCTTATTGGAATTCCTAAAAAAACCATACTAATTCCTGACTTAGCCACCGAAGGGCACAGCTTTGCTGCAATTGCATATTCCAGCCGAGGGAGAATATGAAGCTCTCATCGTATGCTCCAGTGATGACTGGGACAAAGGAGACAAAATTGTCCATGCACAGAGAGAAGTCCTCCTGGAACTATGTTACAAGTTACATATACCCACATATAAGTGCACATCTCTATATATGATGAATACACATGCTATATATGTGTATATAAATAGAAAACACACATTACATAAGTGTGCTCCTTTTATGCAACAATTCTATAACCTGATTTTTAAACTCCATGATTGTTATATGACACCTTTCCAGAGAGAATGTGCATGTGTGTGTACACATCACCCATTTGTACTGTTGATGACTATGCTTCTGAGGAGTAAATGGTACTTTTTAAATCCATTCTCTGTGATCTTTTTTCACTACATGTGATTGATCACTTGATCAATTTTCCACACATAGGGCTCTCTCATTGATCAACTAGAAGGCGATGACTTGGTCCATGAGAGACATTGCTCACTAGGGTCAAAGAAGAGCTTTGAATGGACTGGAAATTAGATGTTGTCCTTGAGTTATGAAATCATGGCCCCTCTTGGTCACTGCAGGTACCTGAGAAGCCTTGGGATCCTACAGAGGAAAGAAAATGATGACAAAAAGTGAAATTTTCTTTTTTTTCATTTTTAACATTTTTAAAAATCAATTTATTGTGTGCTCTTACAGCTCTTATCACAATCCATATATACATCCAGTGTATCAAGCACATTTGTACTTATGTTGCCATCATCATTTTCAAAACATTTTGTTTCTACTTGAACCCTTGATATCAGCTCCTCATTTTCCCCCTTCCCCCACCCTTCCTTCCCCATGGACCCTTGATAATGTATCTTTTATTTTCTTGTCTTACACTGACCACTGTCTCCCTTCACCCACTTTTCTGTTCTCCATGCCCTTTGGAAGGGGTTATATGCAGATCATTGTGATCAGTTCCCCCCATCTCCCCCACCTTCTCCTTACCCTCCTGGTATTGCTACTTTCAGTATTTGTCACGAGGGGGTTATCTGTCCTGGAGTCCCTGTGTTTCGAGCTGTTATCTCTACCAGTGTATCTGCTCTGGTCTAGCTGGGTTTGTAAGGTAGAATTGAGGTCATGATAGTGGGGAGAGGAAGCATTAAAGAACTAGAGGAAAGTTACGTTTCATCAGTGCTATACTGCACCCTGACTGGCTCTTCTCTTCCTTGTGACCCTTCTGTAAGGGGCTGTCCAGTTGTCTATAGATGGGCTTTGGGTCTCCATTCCATGCTCTACTTCATAAAAGTAAAATTTTCTATGCCACATAGTTTTCTCCAGTTATCACAAAACAATCAGGGGATTACTGGTATTATGTATAGATAATTGTTATGTTTATTTGAATAATGTTTGCCTACCCCTTATCTAGATTGTGAGATCTCTTTGGGAACCAGGCAGATCTTATTTCTTTTTTTGCTTTTGGTTTCTTTGGGCGTGCAGGGGGGTGGGGGGGCATTATCAATATTTAGCAAGCGCCGAGCATATGTGCATTATTGTTTATATATGATTTGGGAGTAAAAGGGTGGAGTTTTAAAGAAGTCTTTCATGAGGGAGCGAGATCTGTAAGAAGTGTATTGAAGAGTAGCATTTCTAGGGGATCTATTCTTGTGTTATCGTCTCATCACATGCCCAGTATCTCTTCCACCTGTTATACTCTCCATCCCACAGTAATGGAAATTTACACTCAGACAGGTTCAGGTGTTCCTCCACTAGCATGGGGGCAGAAACCTGATACTGTCTCAGGAAGTACTGTATAAAGAACAGATTGTAGTGTGTGGTTCATTCTTGTCTGTCAAGAGTTTATGAAATTCACGTAACCCATGGTCTTGGAGTCAACCTATTTTTATGACCAATAGTTGAGTTGGTTTTACTTGTTACTTAACTTTCTAAACAAGATTAAACCCTATGAGATTATGAAAATGGAAGTTAGGGTATGCTTTCAAATGTAACTGTATACTAAATTTTATGCATTACAAAATGAATGGGTTCTCTAATGTGCCAGTTTGATTTGCTCCAAAACACACCAGAAAGATGTGATGTTATTTCTCTTCCATAAATGTTATTCATTGGCCTTTGCTATTTTCAAAGATGTTTTCTGACATGCCATTCAGGGTTTTAGCATATACTCTGTGGACATATGTATTCATAAGGCACATTTCCATCTCTAATTAAGTATGAGTGAAGCTTACATTTGGGGATAAAAGCAACTATGAATAGAAGTTATTATATACATATCACAATCATCTTTCCCACCCCTGAGGTCACCCTCAACTTGGAGACCTGAGCTGACCTTGGCTAACTGTGATGTCGTGCGATCCACACTTTCCAGTAGGCAAAGAAGATTGGGGATACAACTGGAAAGTTCTGCTGCCCATTCACACAAGACAGTGTGTTTGTCAGCCTTGTACTCACCCCATTATGAATCTTAGCAGCAATATAAAATGAGTAGGAGTTTGAATAACTCCTCCCCATCACTTTGTGTCACCGATCACTTAAGGAGGGTGTCATGGGGCAATAAATGGTGAAGCAGAGGGAAAGAGAGAGAGGGGAAGGCCCTCAAGGAGGTGGATTGACGCTGTGGCTGCAACAAAGGGCTCAAGCACAGGAACCATTGCGAGGGCGGCGCAGGACCAGATAGTCTCCTTCTGCTGTCCAGGGTCGCTATGGGTCAGAACCAACCCTGATGGCTCCTAACAACAACATTGCAGGACTCTAGAACCTTCCGCCTTGCTTGAGAGCTATGGGGCTTCCTTATGGGAGGTTAAAGGGGCCTATAAATGCTTCCCTTGGTCCTGGGTCAGGGATGGAAGAAATCCAGGTACAGTTTCCAAATGGAGTTTTATTCATAATAACAAGCGATTGGTTACTATTTTTTCTTTTGCTTCTCAGGACCGGGTTGGAAAATTTGAAGATGGAAAGTAGCAACTGGGTGTCTCTAGCTTGCCAAGAAAGTCACACAATATTGTGCTTATTATGGGGCTTATTTGAGTATTAAAGTATAGTAGGATAATGGGGGTTATTTGACTAAAATACCAAAAGCTGGTATTTGATTGTCAGAGACTTAATAACGGAAGTACAGAAGGTGACTATCCAAAAACACAATGCTGTCCAGTCGATTCTGACTCACGGCCACCCACAGAACAGTGTGGAACCGTCCTTTGGGGTTTCCAAGGGTGTAACTCCTTACAGGAGCAGAGAGCCTATCTATCTCT